CTACGAAGCAGCCGCGGAAAATTACAGTTGTCCGTGCGTGAGATGCAGAAGGGCTGGAAAGAAAGCTCAGTTTACTTTCATAGGCACAATAGCGGGGGCAAGTAAGGCTGCAAAATTATATCTCTCTACAACTTCTTGGCGAGCTCAAATCTAGAGTTGGCACGATGCCAGTTAAAACTTAAAGTGCGCGTATGCGAGATCTAAGCATGCGTGAAGGCTGAGTTTGAAATCTTTGGATTACAACTGACCAAGGAACACTTTCGTGAAATTTCAGTCTTCTAGCTTGCGCCACTCCTGAAGTCGATTTCCCGCCAAAAAAGCTTTCACATGCTCATACGTGAGAACCATGGGGACCTGAGCATCCATTTTGAGGAGCGAGGTCCGAACGCTTGTGTAGATTAAGTTGCCAAAATTTCAGCCCTGTAGCTTCGTAGAACTCGAGATGAAAACTCGGTACAGGCGCACACACAGATACACACACAATCCCTCGATAACATGCGTTTTTGTATTGCATAGATGCAAAAAACGCATAAGTTAGGGAATAGAATTTTGGAAATGGAGTTCAATCGTGGGCGGAGCCAGAAATATGAAATAAACTGGACTTCATTTCGTGTTTTTGTCCGTGACCTCAAGTCTAAATTCTCTCTAACTTTATAAACTGCAAATGAACAACGCTACGAAATTTTAGGGGTTAAATTTTTAGCGTTTTATCTTACTTAATGCACATTCCTACTTGGAAAGGCAGAAATTTGACAAGAACCAAATCCCAGATCACAAACTGTTACTGGTTTTGGGCGATGCCATTGTAGAAGAGCATAATCGCGCCAATAATGTAAAAGCGTTTTAAGGAAAAGCAGGCAAATGTACAGCTTTAAGATATCAATGTAATGTTCGAAAGCAGGCCAGCCTGTAAGAACTGCTTAACAAGGAGAGTACGCTGGATCAAGAATTTTATTGTTCATTAACACAATTAATTTTGCAAATTAGTATAGAATAAAGCGTGTAATAATGACAATCATATACAAATAGTGTTAAACCAATAACAGCAATTGTCCTGGTAATTGCATGAACTTATTTAGCGTCCAGCTCATCCAAAGTGATTTACAAAATGAGATTTGAGGAAATGTGGGACATTTTCTTTCCTCTCAAGGTCAGTCGAACTCTTCAGACTTCAAAAGTCTACCATTTGCTGACAAATCAGCAAAAAGTACATGCTATTTGAAACGCTATTTTAGTAGTTATGGCTCCAAAGAGCGAGAGAGGCTACAACACGATTATTACTTTGTCCTTATGGAATAGAGGGAGACGGGAGAAAAACGAAAGATTGATGTTAAATCACGTTTTCGAACAAAATAGATTATATAAGTTCGACCAGTATTTTGGGCACTAGATGCTTAAAATTAGTTTATTGGCTAAATGACAGACCGGAAATATATCATGAGCATTCAGATTAAATGTCACAGTGCTGTCTAAAATTAAACAAGCCAAAATCCGAAAAAAAGCCATTGATAATGACTTCTGCGGAATTCAAAAGCGAAACAAAAGCGACGCGACATTTACTGCAGTAGTCTGTATTCGTTCAGGAAACCAGCTCGTCCCCCCTCCCCACAAAATTTGGCACATATCCATTCAATATTTGCAAAAAAATGCAGCTGTCATGTTTAGCCAGAGTAATGAACTTCAGATTTCGATATTGTTCTTCAGTCCAGTAACTGCAGAAAACCTTTACAACTACTAAGGAGATAGGCAGTCTTATGTTACATAAATAGTAAAAACAATGGCATAAGAATCCGAAGCGTGGTCACTAACAAAGCAGAACAACGAACGTTAGTTGCGATCGAAACAATAGCCGAGCAAAGGATATTTCTAACCGTATAAGCAGTTAGACTCTCTGCCAGAAGATTAAACTCTCGGTAGCAGATGCCATTGCGATTGAGCAAGAAAGTAGAATTGCAGTGCTGCTTTTCTTACCATTAACGCAAATCAGTCAGAACAGCAGTGCTTCGGAATGCTTATGCTTTAGCCGGACAAAACAGCAATGCAACGCATCTGTGGTCTGTAAAAATTTTTGCAGTATTCTAGCATTATCAAGATCGCTGATGCTATCCCAGTCAAGCTGAGGTTCCCAAACCAAATTTCGCAAAAGTCAAAAACATTTAACAAATTTTAAAATCGGCTTTTCCCTGCCTTTACTGAGATTCGAATCACAGGCAATAAATCTGATCGACGCGGACAATTTCTGTTGGATAATAAGCGTCTCTGTTGTACCAACGCTTGTCTTTCATGCAGTACAGCGGTTCGCGATGATAGTACATCCAGTCTCCCATGTTCATGCCCCGAACCCTGTCATCCAAGTTGTAGAGTTGATGTATGCCGTAGGTAATGTGCAATCGATCATCTTCGTTTGTGTCTGCATAATCACCGCTAAATCATTTTTATGGATTAAAAATAACATGAAAATTGCTCAAATCACAGATCTCGCAAGTGGCCGCAACTGAATTTAGTTATACATCAGGCACCGGTCAGCTAC